CCTCCTTTTAGCCCCCTCCCCACCCACTTTCCTTCAAGCCCATCCACAGCCACCCGCTCCCCTCCAGCCCTCCCCTAGGATCTCACCAGGCCTCACCTTGGAGTAAGTGGCTCCATTGATGACCTCTCCCTTTCGCAACCAGATGATGGAGGCCGCAGGCTTGGCATTGTCTGCATGGCAGGTGAGGTTGAGGGGGTCCCCCGCACGCAGGCTGATCACAGGGCCCCCCAGGATGACAGGGTCATCAGGCGGTACTGCAGGGAGAGAAGCACCCAGGTCAGACCGAGGCCGCCCCCTCAGGCAGGATGGCAGACCAGGCTGGGAGGATTTTGTGGAGAGATGATGACAAACAATAATTATCATATTTGAATAAAACACATCATCCCCTTGTATGGTAAGGATGAGAGCAGCCCCGCGAAGTGATCCTGACAGGTGAGTGCATGCTTGCTGCGGAGGATACTCCCACCCATCATCGCATCCCTGCTCAGGGCCAGCCGAGAGGGGACGGGGCAGGCAGCCTCAGCCTGCACTCCCAGACCCAGAAGCAGAGCTCTGTGGCTAGGCCATGTCTGTGGCTTCTTTCTTTTTTAACTTCTTTTTATTATTATTATTTTTTTATTTTTTTGGAGACTAAGTCTCTCTGTCACCCAGGCTGGAGTGCAGTGGTGCAACCTCGGCTCACTGCAACCTCTGCCTCCCGGGTTCAACTGATTCTCCTGCCTCAGCCTCCTGAGTACCTGGGAGTACAGGTGCCTGCCACCATGCCTAGCTAATTTTTTTTTGTATTTTTAGTAGAGACGGGGTTTCACCATGTTGGCCAGGCTGGTCTCGAACTCCTGACCTCAGGTGATCCACCCACCTCGACCTCCCAAAGTGCTGGGTTTACAGGTGTGAGCCATGGCACCGGGCTCTGTTTTCTTTAAATGAAGCACTGTCACACCTGCTGTCTGAGTTAGTCCTCACAACAGCCTGGCGAGGTCAACATTATGATCACCCCAGTGACACAGATCCAAAAGCCGAGTTCCAGCAGGATGAGTGGTTGGCTCAAGATCACACGGTGGCAGGGCCAGGGCTGGAGGCCAGGCCCAGGGAACCTGGGAGCACTAGGCCGGCCCCTTCCCTGGCAGGGGGCAGGGGACAGGGTGGAGCCAGCGCTTGAGAGGGCTGTGCAGATGCTGGCATCTGCCGAGCTCCTCACTCCTCCAGAGTGGCTCCAGCCCCTTCATCTCCAGAGGCAGCCTGATTCTCTCCTGGCCCAGCCTTCCAATCGCATTTTGTAGCGGGGTCAGAGACAGATGGCTCCGGTCAAGGGATCCTGAGTGCCAGGGGGAGGTAACATCCACGTCAAAGCGTGGCCTCTGCAGTGCCCAGCACAAAGCCCTGTGCTTGAGGGAAGCCCCACTGACATTTGCTGGCCCTACTGGTGTCACTCCTTTGATTCCCATGAGGTCCACAGGCCGGAGGATGGTGGATGATTAGTTTGGAGGGAAGGCCCAGAGAAGTGAAGTGCCTTGCCTTAGGACACACAGCCTCTTCCCATGCTTGTGCCTGGGGACATGTTGAGGGTCTCAGGCCTCTGCTGCTCCCTAGACAAGCCACAGGAGGTACAGGAGATGAGGCGACTGTCCTCTGAAGAATCCCTGTTTCCTTTCCCCCAGGAGGGGCTGGGCCCACCGGCTCTGGAGGCTGACAGAGGCTCAGGGTCTCCGGGCACTCAAGACATGAGTCGTGTGTGTACACAGCAAACAGAGAAGGGGTAGTTGGGTGACGGAAGCCTGGGGACCTAACACAAAGGGTCCTCTCTGCCTGCTGGCCAGAGAAAGCCCACCCTTCTAAGCGGGCTCCGTGCTCGGGGCTCTGGGCTGAGAAGCTCCGAGCTGGACAGTCATAGCTCCAGGCCTGTCCTGACTCTGCTGGCTCAGCCTTCCAGCCTCGGCCTGTAGAGGTGCTTCCCTCCCCATTCCAAGGAATCGTCCCCATCGGCCCCACTCCTGGTCCACTTTGGCTTCTCCGGAAGCTCCAGGAGGGACAGGAAACCCCCACGTGGGCCAAGTAAGAAGCCAAGAAGCAAACCTTCAGACCAGCCGCCTTGCCCTCCCTGCCTGGCCTTGGGGGCCTGCACCTACACTCATAGCCCAGCAGTGTCATTTCCTGAGGGCACAGCAACCCCCTGGGGCTTCTAAGATGCGATCACTGACCCCAGGGGCAGCAAGCCCTGGACTCCACCGAGATCCCGGCTCAGGAACAGAGTCAGCCTCACGCAGCCCCGCCTGGCCCTGGCCTCTCGAGCCAGGCCTCCCCAGGAGGCCCGGAGGAAGCAGGCGGGAATGGGCTGAACAGAGAAGATGACCCTCCAGCTGCCCACCCACACCCTTTCATTAGTGCCCACCGGCTTCCTTGGGGTGGGCCTGGCCACAGAGCAAAAGGGAGGCGGATTAGGGCTTTCCACTGAGCGGGGGTGGGTGTAACCGCTTGTGAGGAGGGGAACTGCATCTCCACGAGGTGGGTGGGCGCCTTCCAACGGGAAGAGCCGGGCTCAGAGGTGGCCAGCCTTCATCCTTCGTTCTTTGAGGCAGCCTCCTCAACCAGGACGGAGGAGCTCGGGCTCCATGAGCTAGCTGGGGCCCGGAAAAAGAGCCCTGGGGACAGCCTGGATACCTGGGGCCTCAGCCTTCGCAGTGGCTGTGCAAAGTGCCTTCGAGCACTTTGGAGGGTGGAGCCGGAAGCTCCTCTCCGGGTGGCTTCAGGTGTCAGCCTGAGCGTGTGAGAGTGCGGAGGATCTGGGAACTGGCCGCCCTCCAGCACTGACATTTATTAGGTCTTGAACAGGGGTTTGGAGCCTTGACTGCATGCTCCCCTGCAGAGGCTTGAAAATCCCACTGCAGGCCACAAGCTGAGCAGCCAAGTCTCAGTCCCTGGAGGGCACCCCAGGCATCGGGACTTTGGGGAACTTCCCAGGGGGTCCCATGGCAGGACCAGCTCTCTGGGGTCTGGGCTGAGGTGCATGGAGCATCTGCTTGCTCTGGGTATAGTGCAGCTGCCGCAGAGGCCTTCCCGAAAATCCAACACCCAGAGGACAGGCCCTTCCTCCTGGTGGCTGGAGTGTTGTGTTATTGGAATATCGGATTAGAGGGAGCGAGGACGAGGGAGGAGGGAGTGGGGCATGTTGTGGGAGTGCTCAGGCGCACACACAGCCACACACGCACATCCACCCTCAGAATGGGGCCTGATTACATCTTCCCAAATAAGTGGTTATCACGCTGGGTATTCACGTAGCCATGCATTATTGATTGGTCTTCGCCTCACTGCACACCAGATGGGGGTGGGGGTGGGGGTGGGTGGGGGTTGGTGAGGAGGGAGGGTGTTTGGGGGCCAGCAGGCTGAAGAGAAATCAGCAGTCGCTCTTGGCAGCTGTGTCTGGTGCGGAAGGGGGCTCCTCATTACCTCCCCATTCAGACTCGGCCAGGCTGGGCCGGGCCGGGCAGGGAAGGGAGGAAGTTTCGGATCGGCCCCGGCCTAGAGATGCATTATTCATCACCCCCTCGCAGGATTGGTTATTATTCTCAACCACTATAGAGTTTGGGCTTCTAATTTTTAATCACAAGGAAGGTGGAAGCGTTAGCCTTTTGGTGATTAATCCGGAGATAAAAATAGTTGACTGTTTTGTGTTGGGCTTGTTGTCAGTCAGGAAGAAACGGCATAAACTGTTGGGGCAGTGAGGCCTGGGGAGGCCCTGAGCGAACCCCAGGCGGAGTTGGTCCCCAGAGCTGGAAGCTGGCCTGAGAGGCCACAGCGCGGCCTTAGCTGGGGGCGGCTGAGCAGCACTCTTGCACCCAGCTGGCTCCTGGGGCTTTGATTATGAAGGAAACACATCATCGCGGGTCGCTGTGCTCTTTACACTGTACCCTCCTTTTGGCCAGGACTGGAGCAGGCAATTGGAGTCTCCCTTCCTGCTCTGCCCCTCCCCGCCCAGGCCTGCGGACTTTGCCATGTGTGGGTGGGCAGTGGGGGCACCCGATCCTTTCCCTGTGTGTGGGAGGGAGCCCCCAAGAACTTTCCCCAAATTCTGCTGCCAAGGACAATGGGGTCTCGGGTAGGGAGGTGGCATGGGGAGAGGGAAACTGAGGGCAAAGAAGCGTGAGAGTGGGCTTGGGACGCAAATCCTGGTTCCAACTGGATAGGTAAAGCTTTCACCTGTTTCATGTGCTAAGGTTCTCTTTCACCTCTATAACCTCTTTTTTAAGAGACAGTTTGCCAGGTTGTCCAGCCTCGCCTGAGCAGGCTGGAAAAACTCTTGGTGCCAGGACAAGGACAGCACTGAGGGAGTTTCCTCCAATGTTGACGTGGCCACCCAGCTGGGACCCAGGTGGGCTTCCAGGAGTTCTTCAGGTGTTCCATCAGCCTGGATGGTTGGTATCTGGGCATGGCTGATCAGTGGCAGCGGGAGGGGTGGGGGACCAGCAGGGCTGCCCTCCTGCTCCCATACTGCCTGGTGGAGAAGCTCATAGATGCCTGGCCCTTCAGAGAGCAAGACTGATTCTCATTTAACTCAACTAGCAGTCCGTTCCCCACAAAGCTGACAGAGTGGTCCGTCATGAACACGAAGCCCTCCAGGGCCTTCCTGCTGATCGAGAGTGGGCCTTGCCTGCAAGCACCAGCACCCACGGCCCTTGCTGCCCCGGACCTCAGCCTGTTCCAGCCACTCCTGACTTGGCAGGCCCTGGGCCCACTGCCTCTACGCTGCTCAGCAAACCCAGCTCCTTCCGGGCCGGGCTTGCCCTGCTCCTCTCTGTCTGGAATGCTCTTTTCTGTTCCTTGCCCTGCTGGCTCTTCCTGTCAATGAGGTTGCAGCTTCAAGAGCCCTTCAGTGACTCTCCACTACCCACCCCTGCACTTTCTGGATCACTGGGTTCATTTATTGTCTGTCATTGTTCTAGAAAGGACATCAAAGGCCTTATCTGTCTTGGTCGTTGTGATGTTGCTGGACCACATGGTAGGCGCTAAAGAAGTATTTGTTGAACATTATTTGTTAAATAAAAGACCCTCAGAAGGGGCGTGGAGATGGGGTGGGGGTGGTTGCCATGGGCATTGACCTCTGAGGTCAGCATTTTTAATCCTCTGTGTATGTATATATGTGTGTACATGTGTGTATGTGTATAGATGTTATACATGTGTGTATGTATAAGTGCATGCATGTGTATGCATGTGTGTGTATATGTGTGTATGTATATATGTAGGTATGTGTGTATATATGTGTATATATGTGTATAGACAGGTGTATATATGTATATGTGTACATGTATGTATATATGTGTATACACGTGTATATATATGTCTATATGTGTGTGCATGTGTTTGTATATGTGTATGTGTATATATACGTGCATATGTGTATGTGTATACGTGTGTATATGTTATATGTGTATACAGTTTGTATATATGTATATGTGTATGCACGTGTGTATATATGTATATGTGTGTATATGTGCATATGTATGTGTGTACACATGTGTGTATGTATATATGTATGTACAGTGTGCGTATGTGTGTATACATGTGTATACACATGTGTATATATGTGCGCATGCATGTATATATGTATATACACTTGTATATATGTGTATATGTATGTGTGCATGTGTGTGTGTATTGGGTAGAGTTGGGAGCAGGCTGGGTGAGTAGTGGGAGGGAGGAGGGCAAAGTGGTGGCTGCTCTGAGGCCAGCTGGGACAGCTGTGTAGGAACAATGTGTTGCTGTGGCAGCAGGGTTGGTGCTTCCCACCATCAGGGTTGGTGAGAGGGAAGCATGGCTGAGGAGGGCTTGGCACTGGGAGCTGGTTCTCAGCCTGTTTCTCCGTGGCTGCTGTCCTCTGATTTGGCTGGAACGTAGGATGGGGAGACGGTGGTAGGCCGAGCATGGTGACACAGCAGAGACTCTTGGCTGAGTGGGGAGGAGGACATTTGTGGGTTCTTTGCTTTTGTTCTGCCATGGACCCTAAGTCTGTTCCAGCCACTCCTTACTCAGCAGGCCCTGGCCTCACCTGGGACAGAGTCTGTGCTAGGAGTTTCAGCACCCACTACAGTGGAGGGAGGATGCCAGGGCTTCGGGGTGCATCTGCCACACCTTCAGCATCTTCTCCATCCCCACATTCCCCACTGCAGCCCTGCGGTCAGCCTGCCATGTGCCCTCCTCCCTCCCTCCCTCCCGACCTTTCACTCATCAGCCTCCTCCATGTCATAAGCTGAGCTGTGATGGCTGAGTGAAGCCAGACACAGCCTGCCATCTTAGAGCTGATGGGAAGGCCCTTGCCACTCCAGGCTAGTGCCCAAGACAGACGTGTGTGCAGCCTCGGCACCTCCTGGGAGCTTGTTAGAAAAGCAGACTCTTGTGTTCCACCTCAGACATCCTGAGTCAGAATGTGCCTTTCAAAAGACCCCAGACAATCCATACACACTTTCAAGCTGAAGGATCGCTGCCCTAAGGGCTCCTAGGTAGAATCATGACAAACTGACAAGTTCTATGAAGGGAAGGCTCGCCGGACAAAAACATGCGTATGGGGGCCTTTGATCCCTTCACTGGCTCCTTGCTCCCTCCGCTCCTCTGGGACAGGCCAGAGAAAGGGGAGACTGCTCCCTGCTACTGGCTTTTGGTGCTGTACCATCTTGTTTCAGAACAGGTTCCTTTGTGTATGTCATTTCTTTGGCTTGAAATGCTGGTGTTCTCCTGGACTACTGGTCTCCTGGGCCACTCTTACACACCTTTGACACTTAGTTCAGAGGGCGCCCTCTCTGAGAGGCCTTTCTAGAATCTCCCAGTTGGGCCAAGTATATAAGGCTTCTGTCTGATCCCTGATCCCATAGCATCTGAGCATCCCTGCCTCACTAGCTACCACATCCTATGGAAATCTGTGTGTGTCTCTTCCCTGAACCGTGACTTCCATCTGGATCCCCATCTCCCAGCAGAGTGCCTGCCTGCCGCACAGGGCAGGGTGGCATATACGTTTGCTGAGCTGAACTTGACTTGAGGTGGTCACTTTATGGACCATATGTAAAGTTGTGGACAAGTCATATAATCTGACAACCTTAGCCCTCTTATCTGGGAAGTGAGATAATAAAAATACCTATCTTGCAGGGTTATCAGGAGAATTACTTTATGATATGAAAGATACACAGAGAATGTTGTAAAGGGCTATGCAAATGTTGGTTATTATGTCTAACTTTTAGGAACGATATTTAGCTTTGTGGCTGTGTGCAAAGTGCTGTGCCAAGGCCCTCTCATTTTATTCTCTATATCCTTTGAGGTGGGGACTATTAAGGTCTTCATTTTGTAGGTTAGGAAGCCGAGATTCAGAGAGGGCAAATTACTTGGCAAAGATCACACAGCCATAAGTGGTGAAGTTGGAATTTAGACTTGGGTTGTTTTTTTGAGGCTGTAATATGTTCTGTTGGAGTGAGAGCAGCTCCCAGACTGTCCCTGCAGCCGCAGCAGCCCTTGCATTAACTCCTGGCCCTACAGTTCTGCAAATCGGGCTCTGCTGGTCCCAGGGGGCATTCAGACCCGGCAGGCACTCTCCTCCCTTCCCTCCCGCAATCTGAGTTTCAGAGGGCCCCAGGAAGCACGAGCCTGGCTCGCAGCTGGTGCCTTAGCGATGTCTGCTAAGGGAAAGGACAAATGATGTTTGTAGTCTGCCTAACTCCTTGCTCCCTTTTGTGGCTTTGCCTGGTTCTCAGGTTCTGGGCGGCGTGTCATCCCAGCCTCCCACTTCCTCACTTACACACATCCGCCACCTAATGGCCACAATGCAGAACTGCAGAATGTAGAGACCCTGGGGAGGTGACTTTTTTTTTTTTTTAAACTTGGTTTTAAGGGTCAGCTTTCCAGTGCTTGCTGAAAATTCTTTGGCGAAATTCGTATTGAGCACATAGTATGTGCCAGGCCCTCCCTAAGCACTAGGGACATGAAGCTTCTGCCCTAGTGGAGACAGACAATAAATGAATAAACAAATACATAATGTAAGGTTAGGCATTGATAAGTACTAAGAGGAAAGTAACACTGGGGAATAGACACATCCTAAACTGGCCTCCGGGGTTCCCTCCTGGCGTTTCCCTTCCTCTCTGGTTGTTACTTTTTGTTTTCTTCCCACTCCTTAAATGTTGATCTTCTTGTTAGCTCTTGCTGGCCATATCTCATTTGACACAGTATCAAATGGAAAACCTTCACTTTTCTGTGAACTCAACTCACATCGTTATGCTGATAAATTCCAAAGAAGCATCTTGGGCCAGATCTCTCTCTTGAGCTCCGGAGTCATGACCCATCTGTCCATGGGCCTTGGAGGCTCAGCATGTGTGACACTAAATTCACCATCTCTCCCACGACACCCATCCCTCCCCATATTCCGTATTAAGGCGAATGGCCCCACTGTCCAGCGACCAAGTCAGAAACGTGGGAGTCTTTCTGGGCTCCACTCTCCTTCACCCTGCCTTGCTAACCAGCCTGGTTAACCCTCTGAGTATCGCTGAGCTTTGTCTCTTTCCATTCCCACAGGCTTCCTGGATCAGCCATCATCATGGCATGCTTGGATTATAATACCGCATCTCCCCTCCACCCCCCCGTCCTCTGCGCTTTTCCAGAGTGACTGCTACAAAAGTCTGATTATTCACCCATCCCGTCAACCAGTGACTCACCCACCACGTGCTGAATATCTAGTATTCTTTCGTTTCAAATCCTCTGAAAGTCCCTCACTGCCACCTGAATAGTCTGACCTTTGGGCCACTGCTGACTCTTCAGTCTTGCTTTTCATCACTTCTTACCTCAATTCCTCTTTGTGGATAAGAGCCACCTGCAGTTGTTGGAGTAAATCGCTCCTCCCTAGTTGCCCCTTTCCTTATTATTATTTTTTGATACGGAGTTTCGCTCTTGTCACACAGGCTGGAATGCAATGGCATGGTCTCGGCTCACTGCAACGTCTGCCTCCCGGGTTCAAGTGATTCTCCTGCCTTAGCCTCCCAAGTAGCTGGGATTACAGGGGCCTACCATCATGCCTGGCTAATTTTTTTGTATTTTTAGTAGAGACGGTTTCGTCATGTTGGCCAGGCTGGTCTTAAACTCCTGACCTCGGGTGATCCACCCACCTCAGCCTCCCAAGGTGCTGGGATTATAGATGTGAGGCACCGCGCCTGGCCTGCCCCTTTCCTTTTGCTTTGCTAACTTGAAGGTTGGGCAGTTTGGGCTCAAATTCTGGGTGCTACGTTTACTGGCTTGTGGCTATGTGAAAATTGCTTAGCTTCTCTGGGCTTCAGTGTCCTCATTAGTAAAATATGAAATAAAATAATAAAACCAGATTCACTGTATAGTTGTCAGGGTCAAGGAAGATGTAATATAGGAAAACACTTTATAAAGGGTCTGATATATGATGTGGCATGTTATTGGCTCTCTAAGCAGACTGGGCTCATTCCTTTGAAAGGTGATGAATGGGCAGGGGAGCTGGGACTTAGAAGTCTGGTGCTCGGTCCCCTTGGAAAAGCACAGGTCTATGTCTTTTTCCCTGCTCTGCCATGCTGGGAGTTGGGTGAAGACACTGCTGCTTCCATGGGTGATTCCACACTGTTCTACCTGGCTTGGCGTCCCCTCCCTCTGGGCCCCCCACGTTCTGTGCCTACTGAGGCACACAGTGCTTATGGGCTGCAAAGGCACATGTGAGCCCCATGTGGAGCAGAGATGAGCAGTCTCAGCTGAGCTCAGCCCAGACTGCTGACTCATAGTTTTAGGTGGTTTTTTTTTTTTTTTTTTTTTTTTTTTTTTTTTTTTTTTTTTTTTTTTTNTTTTAATGCAGCATCAAGGCTCAGAACACAATACTCCAAGATCTTGCATCTTAGAAGTTGAGGAAACAGCAGAAGCAAAAAGGTTACTCTCTAGGCCAGCTAGATGGCTCACACCTGTAATCCCAGAACTTTGGGAGGCCAAGGTGGGTGGATCACTTGAGGTCAGAAGTTCAAGACCAGCCTGGCTAAAGTGGTGATACCCCATTTCCACTAAAAATACAAAAAATTAGCTTGGCGTGGTGGCACGTGCCTGTAATCCCAGCTACTTGGGAGGCTGAGGCAGGAGAATAGCTTAAATCCAGGAGGTGGACGTTGCAGTGAGCTGAGATCGTGCCATTGCACTCCAGCTTGGGGGGGAAAAAAAAAAAAGATTACTTTCTAATATCCTGCCTTCTTGGGTGAGGGCTAGCCATTAAAAATTCTTTGACCCATCTCTACTGCAACTAGGTCATCAGACCCTCGGAAGGATCCTGCCCTATACCCAGAGGAAAGAAATGGTGCACAGGAACTCCAAGAAGAGTGTACAAAGCCTTGCTAAGTTCTTCCAGTTTGTTACTATGAGGTCATACCCCCTTTTTGCCCAGTCACATTTTTGCACAACTGCCCATTCTTTATTGAACATAAGCCCACAAATACACAACTTTCCCATGGCGTTTGGGTCTCATTTCTGAAAGCTCACGTACAACTTTGGTTAAATAAATTCGTTGCACTTTTCTCTTGTTAATCTATCTTTTGTTACAGGGGTGTCAGCTGCAAACCTTGTAATGAATGAGGAAAATATATTACTTTTTATCCCCTGCAGCAGCAGAAGCTAACTGATGTAACCCAGTAGTCCCCTGCTGTTTGATTCAGAACTGGGCCCACGGCATCAACTCTCTCCCCACTTCCCTCCGATCTGCCTCCCTCCACTACGGCCAGGTGACTGTTCCGGAGGCTCAGGCTACGGCTCACAGTGTTTAGTGGCTCCCACTGCTCCAGCACAAAAATCAATTCCTCATCATGGAGGCCTTCCCCAGTTCTCTCCAGTGAGGCCTCCTCTCTGCAGCTTTCTTCTGTGTGACCGTTCACTCTTCTTCGAGGATAGCCCGCCCTTTTACAACTGCGCGCTTTGGCTTGCGAAGTTCACTCTGCTGGGAATCTCCTTGCCTGAGTCTCAGCTGGCTGGAATCCCAGCCCCTTTTCAATCAGCTGAAAGACCTATCATGTCTTGTTCACTCTTGGTTATTCTTTTTTTATTTTTTATTTCTGAGATGAAGTCTCCCTCTTGTCACCCAGGCTGGAGTGCAGTGGTGAGATCTCGGCTCACTGCAACCTCTGCCTCCTGGGTCCGAGTGGTTCTCCTGCCTCAGCCACCCGAGTGGCTGGGACTACAGGCACTTGCCACCATGCCGGGCTAATTTTTTGTATTTTTGGTAGAGATGGGGTTTCACCGTGTTAGTCAGGATGGTCTTGATCTCCTGACCTCGTGCTCTGCCTGCCTCAGCCTCCCAAAGTTCTGGGATTACAGGCATAGGCCACCGTGCCTGGCAACTCTTGGTTATTCTTTAAGACTCAGGCTATTGTCACCTCCTCCAGGGAGTCTTCTGTCAATCTCGGCCCCTGCCTCTCCCGCCTCCAGCCTCTGCACTGCCATAAGATCAAGTGCCCACCTCCGCAGGTACCTGTGGTGGTTGGTGCCATTCCCATCTGCTGTTCCCCCAAGGCCGTGAGCTCCTTGAGGGCTGGTGCTTGCCAGATTCTCTCTCTAGTACTTAGTGTCTGGTTCATAGTGAGCATTTAATACTTGTTGCCTGGTGCCTTGCCTGATCTCACTGAATTAGAAGCACCCCTTCCCACCCGAGCATCTCTTACACTGGCCCTCACAACATCTATATTGCATTGACTTGTGGACCTTTTTCAGGTTCCCTGAAGTTGCAGGGTGGGAGTCTTGACGCCTCTTTGCCTGCCTCTCGCCACCTAGTATATTACCTTGGATGCAGTCATAAAGAACCAGCACCAATAATATGCATAATAGTTAACATTGGTATAGGGCTTACCATACAGCAAGAACTCTTCTGAGTCCTTTACAAATATCCTTTAATCCTCACAACTCTATATAAGGTAGATACAATTATGATGCATGTTTTAGAGGTAAGGAACCAGGCACAAAGTAGTTAAGTTAGTTGCCCACCATCACAGAGATGGGATATGTGCAGCGTTTCCAGACTTAGCAAATCAAAGAACAAGCTGCTCTGTTAAATGTAAATTTCAGGTAAATTAAAAAATGGTAGTGTAAGTATGTCTATCTGAAATTTACATTTAACAGGGCACCCTATATTGTATCTGGCAATCCTATAGATGTGTTAATTACATATATGTGATGTAATTAATGTAGGTGTGTTTCCCCCTCTTCAGATTTTCCCCACCTCCACTTAGGTCTACATTGAGAAGATTTAAGGCAAGATGTAAATGGGATTTCTTAAGGATATGGCATCCTATATATTTGGTGGCACAATACCACAGACATGTCTCCTTGGAGGCTGGGGACAGAGGAAAAAGAGGAACAAGGAGCCAGGTGCAGGTTTAGGATGATGGCATGTGGCTGGGAGGATGATACGCTGGAGGTTGTTTTAGCTGTGCCCCTTACCTGGGGGTGGAGGGGACCCTGGACTAGCTGCCTTCAGAGGTCCCCTGCAAAGGTTTGCGACACTGGGAAGCCCACTCCTCAGCTGGAGCTCATATTGTTTAGGGGATAAGGGAGGCCCTGAAGTCAGAGTGCCTGGCTGGGCTCCTGGCTCCATCACTCACTGGCCATGTGACCATGTGCAAATTACTTCTCTGTGCTGGATGATATTAATGTCACAGATATTATAGTAGCTCTCTTACAGGGCTGGTGTGCTGTTTAAATGAGTTAATGCAGGAGCTGTACAGTGTCTTGTCCCAGACTTTGGCACTATAGTAAGAACCCACTAAATTTTAGCTCTTAGTATTATCATTGTTTATTCAATAAGGAACTCCACATGGGAGCAGAGAGCAGCGTACTGCATGTGAAATGGGCTTGCCTCCACCTCTTGCTCTGCTGTGACCTTGTTCCATGCCCAGCTCTGGACTCCCGAGATGGAACGGTCAGTACCTTGCCTCAAAACACCTTCAAACCACTAGAGCGAAGATGAGGAGGTCACAGACCCAAAGATCCCACAGCTGTGCAGGTGTGATGGGTAATCCCACTGCCTTTAGGCAGGAACCCCCAAGGGAAGTAAAGCTGGGCCAGTGGGCCAGGGGCAGGGAGCCATGTGCTGTCAGGGTCAAAGTTAGCAGTGGCTTGTTTCCCCCCTCAAATTAGAAAGGGTGAGTGTCCCACTGATTTTTGGTTAAACCCTGAAAGAGGGTCTGAGCATCTCAGGGTGGAGCTGCTTGTGAGGAGATGGACGTTTCTTTAATGCTGAGCAGGCAGTAAGTCCCAGGCTGTATGCAGAGTGGAGGAAGGGAGGCAGGTGGAGAAGGGATCCTCTGTGATTTGCATGCAAGCAGACCAGTGTGCCTGTGCCAGCTCCAGGTGATGGAGAGCACCGCAAGCCGCTGTGTGCACAGCAAGAGTGAGAGGGCCTGGGAGACACCAGCAGGGAAGGAACGGTGGGGTGGGGGTGTGCATCAAACTGGAGAGAGGAAGGGGCGAGTAGGGCAGGGGCAGGGAGGCCAGGGTGTGGTGTTGGGTGGCTTCCACTCACCCTCCCAGTCCTGCTGCACAAGAGACTTTCTCCTTTCTCCAGCCCAGCTCCTATGCTGATGGCTGCAGGTCGGGTGAGAGCGCTTCTTAGGTGCGTTTGCAGGAATAACCGGCAAGTGCCCCCTTGCAGTGGCTCACAAAGCTCTCCAGCTGGTTTCGGCCTTAACCTGATTTGGGGGTTCTTTTGCTCGACACAGCTGGATTGGTGGGAAAAGCCCATCATGGTCGCTGCCATGGACTTGTATAAATCCATGCTTCATGGTATGGTGGGCCCTTGTAGTAGCCTTATTTTATAGGTGGGTAAACTGAGGCACAGACTGGCCAAAACATTTGGGGCAAGTCACACAACTGGCAAGGACTCTGGCTCTATCCTGCTGTCCCAACCACTCAGTCCTAACTGTGGCGCCACAGTCTGCGCGAGCACGAGGATCCGTGTTGGTTCACTTCGGTAGGTTTAATAGCATCAAGGCGGCCATCCTGACCCAGCAGAGGCCCAGGCAGGGACTTGCAGTGTCCCCGCTGGTCCCATAAATAGAAAGCAGAACTGATATGGTTGGTTTTGCTATGGGCTCCCCATGCGCAAATCCACCTCCTCAAGGCGCCTCATGTTTTCAGTTAGGACGAAAACGAGGCCAGCTAGAAACCCTGCCTACCGACACCCTGGAGCCTCAGAAGTCCTCACAGAAGCAGGGAGGTGCAGGATGAGGGTCAAAGTCATCTCATGAAGGGTTTTTTTTTTTTTTTTTTTTTTTGAGACGGAGTTTCTCTCTTGTTACCCAGGCTGGAGTGCAATGGCGCGATCTCGGCTCACCGCAACCTCCGCCTCCTGGGTTCAGGCAATTCTCCTGCCTCAGCCTCCTGAGTAGCTGGGATTACAGGCACGCGCCACCATGCCCAGCTAATTTTTTGTATTTTTAGTAGAGACCGGGTTTCACCATGTTGACCAGGATGGTCTCGATCTCTTCACCTTGTGATCCACCCGCCTCGGCCTCCCAAAGTGCTGGGATTACAGGCTTGAGCCACCGCGCCCGGCCAAGGGGTTTAACAAATAAGCGTAAGCATCCCAATAGCTTTCCTTTGAGATGGCAGATTAGGAACACTGCGTTTTGCATGATAAAAGCGTGCGTTGGTTCCACATCTTAGTCGGTTACAGGCCAGCAGGGCAGACAGGAGGAGGCAACGGAGAGGTGACGGTGAGAGAGAAGGGCACAAATAGGACAGGACAGGAAAAGAGGCAAAGACACAGAGGGGCGGGGGGCCTGGGGTGCAAGTCACCTGCTCAGGAAGATGGATGTGGGGAGAGACGCGCGCAGTCCCGTGGGACGGAGGACCCTAATGCCGAGTGGCAGTGTTCCGAGGAAGGAAACAAGCAGAACACTTTCCCAGGCCTCTGGCCGCAAACACTTATTTTGGGGAATCCCAGAAAATCCCTCAAATATACCTTTCAACTTTATGCGCATTTACCAGACCCACTGTTTGCCAGAATCCTAAGAGGAAAAAGTCAAAATCTTTTTCCGACTTGAGCCTTTTTTCCCCCAAAGTACAAGCTTCTACATTTGAAAAAGGGCAATTATTTTTTAGAATTCATTAGAAGAAAGTGCTTTAATTCTTACCTACAGTTTGGCCTTATAGTTATTTTTTGAAATCTCTCTTCCTCATTTTTCACATTTGCCCCATTCGGGGGAGGGGGGCCTTGCCTTTATACCCTGTGGGGACAGTCACTGGATGTGAGCTCCTGTCTTAGTCACAGGCGACTCCAGAGTGGTACTCAGCAGGGAGCTGGCTGCCCCTCCAACCCTGCACTCCGGCAGGAGTCCTTCTGTCCTATCCTCAAATGGGTCAAGAGAAACTTGGTGACGCCACAGCTTTCACCGTGGGATGGCGCTCACAGGAAGCGGGGGTGGAGGGAAGGAATGGCCCCTTCTCCCAGGGTGTCTTCTTTTCACTCCATCACCGTCGAGGTGGGATGGGGGCCGGTTTTGGCATTAGAGTGCTCTGTATCAGAGTA